AAGATGGAGGATGCCCCGGTGATTGACCTTGTCAAAGATGACCAAGGAGCCAAGTCGCCAGTTCGCAAGCCCGAGGTGGCCTAGGAGCCCCAGCCCCAGCCCATCCAACCCAAGGTTGCTGCTTCTGACGTAGTCCCCGAGGAGGACTAGAGCATCTTCAATGCTCGAGTTGCCACTCTCAAGAGAAAGGAAGCTATCTTCCCCACTGAAATCTCCAAGTACAATGGGATGCTACACTCTAAGCTTGTTGCCACGACTTGGGGTCATCTGATGGTGGTATATTTCCGAACTCACTCCTCTGCCCTTTGTGTTTTTCGCCTTACTAATTGATGTGATTTTCTTACAGACAAACTCAATGATCCATTCGCTGGTGGAGCAGTCTGATCGTCAAATGGCATTGTTGCAAGTCTCCGAATCGAATGTGAAGAGTTTGAAGCCAAGATACTTGCTACTGAGGCCAAATTACAGTTTGCCGAATCTAAAGTGACGAAGTGCTAGACCAAGATACTGAAGGCCGTGAATTTGGCGAGGAAGTGGGAGGCCGAGGTGAAGCAAAGAGATGAGCGTATCCGCGAGCTAGAAAAAGAGGTCAAAAATCACAATGCTCTCCTTGTCGATCGTGAGGCCATCTTCTCTCAAGAGATAAAGGAGGCTGGTACTCTTGTTGTTCGGGCTTACAAGTCTTCTCCGAAGTTCGATGATTTTGTGAACGGAATGGCTAACTTGTCATTCTACAAGGGCTTCAAAGTTTGTCATTGGTTGGCTAGGCGTGCGTTCCCTCAGCTCAACCTCAAGCTGCTCACTACCATCGGGGTTTTTACGAAAACGGTGATCTAGGCAGAGAAGGAAGACTCAGACTTCAAGGAGGATGGTGATGACAACGTTGGTGAAGAAGCTGGAGAGAAGTTGGGTAGCTTAGACGTGGCAGTCGACGAGGTCATGGAGACTGATGACGTTGCTGCTACAAACACATCTATGGAAGTGGACCCGACAAGGCATCCTGAGCACGTCGAAGGAGGGGGCGAGGAGCCCCATCAAGATTGACATTTGCCTCTTTTCTTGGACCTCCCTGTTAATATAGTGTATACCGGGTCTCCGAGCTTGGCAGTAGCTTTTTCCTTTTCCTTCCTCCCCCATTTTTTTGAAATGTACTAAGCCTTCCTTTTGTAATGTAGTAGTGAAACATATTTTGCTTTTCGTCCTGTGTTCAATCGCGCAATATTTTATTTTCGAAGTGTAGATTACTCCCAAGGTGTCGAGCTGGTGAGTACGACATAGATAGGAATAGTCCGAAGTCAATGTAAGCCGAGGTGTGCCAACACTGTAGGGTATGTGCTCGACCTATCTGCACACTGGTGAGGCTGAACACGAACTACTTTATTTTGCCCATGCCAAAGAGGCGACTAGGTTTTATGTTGCCCATATCGAAGAGTCGATTGGGTCTTATGCTGCCTATGCCGAGGAGGCGGCTGGGTCTTATGTTGCCCATGTTGAGGAGACGATTGGATCTTATGTAGTGCCAAGATCTTTTATTAATTCGGCACCTTAGCCCTTAGGCTCTGGGAGCGACTCATAGTCCACTCTCTTGTTCACGCTCTGACTAGCTCTGTGGTCCTTGGGACTTAATAAATTTTTGTGGATGCTTGACTTACAGGCTCATATGTAATATCTCCTTAGGTTGTCAATGTTCCAAGCGCGAGGTACCTGTTTTTCTTCCATCGTTTCGAGCTCGTACGTGCCTTTGCTGAAAACTCGTCTTACCCTTTACGGACCCTCCCAGTTCGGACCAAGCTTGCCTATGCCGGGCTCAGGTACCATCACCTTCCGGAGTACTTGGTCACCAACTCGGAAATGGTGTCGCTTGACCCAGGCATTGTAATACCGAGTTACCTACTGTTGGTAGGTCACATACTTCCTCGATCAGGTCTAGGTGGGTTCACAATTCGTCATCATTAGCCTCTTCATCGTATGCTTCAAGCCGTAGAGTTGGTACTTCAATTTAAGTTGGAATCACGACCTCCATTTCAAACGTCAAGTTGAATGGCGTCTCTCCTGTTGCGGTCTTGATAGTCATTCTATAGGCCCATAGGACACTGGGCAGCTCGTCCACCCACAACCCCTTAGCTCGTGCCAAGCGAATTTTCAGTTTGCGAAAGATGGCCCTGTTCGTCACCTCGGCTTGTCTATTTGCCTATGGGTGTGCCATTGAAGTGAAATTCTATTGGATTCCCATCTCGACACACCATTTCTGGAACTTGATATCTTCGAACTGCTTCCCATTATCCGATATCAACACCTTGGGTAATCTGAACCGACAGACTATGTTCTTCCAGAAGAAGTTCAGCATGTTCCGAGTTGTAATTGTTATAAGTGCTTGACTTCAACCCACTTTGTGAAATAGCCAATTGCCACGGCTAAAAATCTTCTTTGCCCAGTTGCCAATGGGAATGGACCGAGAATGTCTATCCCCCATTGAGCAAAAGGCCACGGGTTGGTCAGATACCTCAGGTGGGTGGCGAGTTGATGGAGGATGTTGGTGTGCCTCTAGCAATTGTCGCATTTCTTGACGAGCTCGAGTGCATCCACTTTCATGGTGGGCCAATAATACCATTGCCTTGGCGCCTTTTGGGCAAGCGCCCTGCCCCCAGGTGTCCTCCATAGAGACCTTAATGGATCTCGTGGAGTACCCGGTCTACTTCCAAAGGCCACAAGCAATGTAGGTAGGAGTGCGTAAAGGATCTTTTGTATAGTCGCCCGTCGATAATGACGTACCGTGTTGACTGACGCTCTACCTGCCTAGTTGTGTTACGATCTGATGATAGGGTCCCATGGATCAGAAAGTCAACGAGCACGTGAATCCACCGCAGTTTTGCTTGCAACACGGGAGCGACCTCTTTTCCCCCCACCCCCCCGAGAATGATGGGCCGAGGCAGGTCTTCTATATACATCGTTCTCATGGGGTTGTCACTTGTGCTTGCCAACTATGATAATGTATTGGCCTTAGCATTCTCTGACCTTGGTACTTGCTGGATAAACCAGGAGAAGAAGGTCGGCAAGAGTTCCCTTACTTTGGCCAAGTAAGCTATCATTGTAGGATCCCGAGCTTGGAACTCACCGTTCACTTGGTTCACGACTAACTAGGAGTCACTGCATACTATGAGGTGCTTTGCGCCGATCTCTTTTGCTAAGTTCAACTCGGCTATCAATGCCTCATACTCCACCTTATTGTTCAATTATTCGAATTCGAACCGGAGAGCGTATTCCAACTTCACCTCACTCGGCCCATATAGTATGAGTCCAGTGCCGTTTCCTCGCTGATTAGATGAGCCGTCTACATGGAGGATCTAGGGCTCCACCGACCGAGACCAGTGTTGCACTGGTTGACACCTCCAATGTGCCAACTGGCTCAGCCACCTCAGGGGCCGGCGTGCTGAACGTACATTCCGCCCCAAAATCTGCCAAGACTTGATCTTTGATTGCTGTGCGTGGCTCGAACCGGATGTTGTACTTGCTCAGCTCAATGGCCCACTTCGTCAATCTACCTAACACCTCCGACTTTAGAAAAGCATGCCTTAAGGGTTTGTTGGTGAGGAGGATGGTCGTGTTGGCTTGGAAGTATGAATGCAATTTCTGAGTTTCTACTACCAACGCATAGGCTAGCTTCTTGATGTCGGGATATTTGGTCTCTGTTGCTTGCAAAACCTTGCTTACATAATAAACGGTTCGCTGGGCCTAGTCTACTTCTTTGGTTAGTACCGAGCTGACCACTTTGTCACTCACAGAGAGGTATAGCTTCAGCTTGTCTCTTTCCTCAGGTCGGGTTAAAACTGGTGTTGTACTTAGGTATTTTTTCATCTCGTCAAACGCGAGTTGGCAATTTTCGGTCCACTCAAAGTCTTCATTCTTTTTGAGTGCTTTAAAAAAAGGTAAACACCAGCCTGTCGATTTAGACATAAACTAGTTTAGGGCGGCTACCCAGCCAGTTAACCTTTGAACTTCTTTTATTTTTTGGGGCAGCCTCATATCTAGTATGACCTTTATCTTATTCGGGTTGGCTTCGATGCCACGTCAGTTCACTATATAGCTAAGGAATTTGCCCGACGTGACCCCGAAGACACACTTGTTCGGGTTGAGACTCATGTTGAATTTCCTTAAAATTTGAAAAACATGGTTTAAATCATCGATTAAAGAGTTTGAAAACTGGGTCTTCACAACCATGTCATCAACATAACTTTCTACTTTATTTCCAATCAAAGGTTCAAAAACTTTGTTTACAAGTCACTAGAAAGTTGCTCCAAGGTCCAAAGGGCATTCCTTTATAGTAGTATAGCCGTAGTTCAGTTACAAAAGCTATTTTCTCTTGGTCAGCTAAGTCCATTCTAATATGGTTGTAGCCAGAGTAAGCATCCATGAAGCTCAGCAACTTGTGCCCCGAGGTCGCGTCTACCAGGCGGTCTATTCTAGGAAGGGGAAAGCAGTCCTTCGGGCAGGCTCTGTTGAAGTCGGTGTAGTTGATGCACATGTGCCACTTTCCATCGGTCTTCTTCACCAGCTTAGGGTTGGCCACTCGGCTCAGGTATTGGACCTCCTTAATGAAGTTTGTTGCGAGGTGCTTCCCGACCTCCTCGTCAACTTTCCTCCACCGCTCTAGGGCGAGGTTTCGTTTTCTTTGTCTAACTGGCTTGACTAAGGGGTCCACATTAATTTTATGAGTTATTATGCTAAGGTCTATGCCGGACATTTCTGCCGCAGATCAAGCAAAAACATCTAAATTATCAAGTAGGAAACTTACTAGTTGCGACCAAAGTGGTTCGCTTAGCAGGGCACCGATCTGGAGGGTCTTCGTCAGCTCGGCTTCAGAGACCAGTACTTGGACTATTTCCTCCATTGGGGCAGCTCGTTCCTCTACATGCTCGGGGGGTGGCTCCAGTTCGACGTCTTCCACCAACTTTGCCTTGCCCTTCAATGCAACTATGTAGCACTTGTGCAATTCAAGCTGGTCACCTCGTACAACCCCCACTCCGCAGCTCATTGGGAATTTCATGGACAAGTAATAAGTCGACACCACCGTACGTAGGGCATGCAAGATGGACTTTGTAGGGGGACGAAGTCACAACCACCAAAAACGTGTGTTTGAAGCGCATTGAGTTGGGCCATGCTCCCGCTGCAATTGGTATTGTAACTTGGTCGAGAGGCCTAACCACCTCGCCGTTGAACCCGACCAAGGGCGTGTCTGTTGTCTTCAAATCCTCCCGCTTTACCTGTAGCTTGTCGAATGCTTCTAAAAATTGGATATCTACCAAACTTCTTGAATCGACCAATACCTGCTTTACTTCGAAGTCGATCACAAGTTTGATGATGAGGGCATCATTGTGCGGATACTGGATCCCACACGCATCGCCCTCGGTAAAGTAGATGGGATCTTCTACCCTAGGCCACTTCGGTGGGTTCTCATCTTCGTTCTCTATCTTCCAAATTGAGGTTTTTCCTGTTGCTGTAGTACACCCCGCAACGATGGACCCACTGGTGATCATGTTGATCACCTCGTAGATAGGCCTGTCCTCTGGTGGAGACTGTTGCTGAGGTGGTTGATTGTTCCTTCTACTCGACTTTGGAGCTTCCCTTCTCTGATCGGCCTGCCGGTCCACTATCTCCCTGTCCTCATGCTGGATGAATTTCTTTAGATACCCATGGCGAATCAACTCTTTGATTTCATCACGGAGGTTTCGGCAATTCTCTATGTTGTGCCCGATGTCACGGTGAAAGTGGCAATAGACATTTGGGTTCCTAGTTGTTGGATCTCCTCGCATCTTGGGCGGCCACTTGACATAGCCGGAATCCTTGATCGCCATCAAGATCTCACCTCATTTTACATTGAGGGGAATGTAGGTGGTCCTTTCAACTGGAGGGGTCCTAGATCGCTGACCTGAGGTAGAACCCTGAGGTGGTGATTTGCTTCTTTTATGCGGTGGCTTACTTCTTCTGGGAAATTTTCTCTTCCTTTGCCGATGCTTGCAGCTACTGGCTCCTTCGTCATCTCTCTTTCTCTTTTCTCCCTACTGGATTTCTGCCTTGGACCCGAGAGCCTCCTCCGTCCTCATGAATTTCTCGGCATCATCGAGGAACTTCTTGATTGTCTTTGGTGGGTGCACCCCGAGGTGCCAAGAGAATTCGACATGTTGAACTCCTTTATGGTCTGCAGTCAAGCGTACGGATGGGTCAAGGTCGGGTATCTGCAAACACTCCTTGTTGAAGGGCTTGACGTAATTTCTAATTGACTCATTCTCCCTCTGGACCACGTTCAGAAGGCTCGCTGGAGATTTTAGGCACTTCTTACTAGTGATGAAGTGTGCAGTAAACATGTCTACGAACTGACCCTAGCTCTTGATCTATCTTGATGCTAAACTTCTGTACCACCGTCTGGCTAACCCCCTGAAGGTGATGGAAAAGGTTACACACATGCTCACCTCGTCTGCCCCTGCGAGGAACACTTGAGATTGGAAAGCGTCGACATGGTCATTGGGATCAAACTTCCTATCATAAGTATCCAGTGTAGATGTCTTAAAATCTTTCAGCCTTGGGACCATGAGAATCTCTGACGCCAAGGGGGAAGGCCGGCTCCACAATACAGGAATTAGTTGTGTAGCTACCGAGCTCACTTCCTCCTTCACCCTGCTTGGTACCAGTGGCTGGTTGCTCTTTGGGGGACTGTTCCTGGTGGATGACCGGCGTGTCTTGCGACGTCGTCGCTTTTTTGTTGCTTCTACATTAGTGTTGTTCACCTCGGTATTGTCTTGCACCTCGACCGTGGTTCGTTTGCGTTCCCGAACACTATCGCGAGGTGGGAGTGAGTTCTTGTCGCCCACATCTTCGCGGTCACGAACTTGGTGCTGACTGTTGCAAGGGACAAAGGGGTCTCGTCGTGAGCCCGCTCCTCTTACCCTGAGCTGGCGATCACTAACCAGAGGATCGCGGTTCTCACGCTGCGAATGCTGCTGCTGGTCGGTCCTAGTGTAGTGGCTATTCTCGGGCTAGTCTTTCTGGTTCACCCCTTGGGAAGGCAGGGGTGTGCACTGACCTTCGACTCTGTCCCGAGGTAGGGTTCGGTCCCGGGGAGGAGTTGAGACTCGGGTGTTCTCCAAACCTCAGAGAGGAGATCAACGCACATTTTGCTGAGTTGGTTCCGACTCTAGTTCTGCTGGGGGTTTTGGTTTTGGTTCTGGTTCAACCGTAGTGGTGGAAACTACTGCTGATATTGCTGGTAGAAGTAATACTGTTGGAGCTGATGAATATGCTGCATCTGTAACTGCATCATCCTAACCTATTGCACCAGCTCGTCAAACTGCTGAGTTCCAACTCCAAGAGGGACCACAGAGGGCTTGGGGACTGAAAAGGTGGTACTCACTTGAGGGAGTGGAACGTTGAATGGTTGGGTACGAAACTGTGACTATTGAGTCTATACGGTTGGAATTCCTGAGACAGTAAATGGGATGGTAAAGTGGCCGATACAGACCGTGGGGAACTCTTGGTTGGTCGAGGTCTGCTCCTGCTCCCTAGAGACGGTCATATTGACATTCTTTCCGGTGTTGTTTGAGGATGCCATGGAGTAAAAAAGGTAAGGTAGGAACTTAGCTTTTCTGTCGCATTCCCATAGATGGCGTCAATTGATGGTGCACGATCTGAATGCTCCTAGTCGGAAGGCGGCTTGGACGTCAGTAATGAAATAGACTGGTCGAGCTACAAAACAGATGGGCTAGAGAACCCGGGGTGGCTAACTCGGCGAGGTCACTCCGATGCTTAAGTCAGTAGTAGATATGAGTAGCAAGCTGAAAGTAAGTAACTTGAGAGCTAGAATGCATTGTATCGCATGTACCTAGTCCCCAGGGGTTAATGCCCTTATATAGCTGGGCTGCCGTGAGTCTCACAAAACGCTTCCATGATCTTTGGTCCGGGCTGTTAGAGTCTGTTCCGCTCCAAAAGGTGTATAACGTGCTAGCCGATAAGGCTTATCGTGTCCATCCGATTTGGGTTGAATGAGGATAAGGCCTGTAGTTGCACAGAGTGATCCCGAAAGGCTGGGAGGTAACTGAGAAGATTCTAGAGTTTTGCTACGTGTCACTTTGGTGGGCTTGGTCATCTGAGGTACCCGGGCTTTGGTGCTATCCGAAGTGATCGGGACACCCGAAGTGACTTGTCTTGCTGAGATGGTTGAAGGTGCTGAGTCACAATCTAGTTGGCAGGTCACGTCCACGTGTTCTCCTTTTATTAGATCAGGCCAAATCACCCCTCATCAATAGTTATAAATTTTGAACTATATTATTATTATTATTATTGAAATTCAAGTTTATAAAGAAGATGCTCATTATTATTATTATTATTTTTTTGGGGGGGAGGGGGTAGAACCTATCTTAACAAGGTAGGTTCCAATTCTAAAAAGTTAAACCAATCCATACAAGATAGGTTGTAGGTTGTCATTTGAAATTGAACCGAACCAACCCATGCTCACCGCTATTCAGGGACCTCACATACAAGTTAAACTTTTGGGTTGAATGGTTCCTTAACTATCAAACCAGTTTGACCAAAATGGTCATAGTGTTTGATCTATCAAAACCTGCTTTTTGTGTGGAGGAGCATATTAGAGAGCAAAGACGTATGAGTTCAGGTACCTTTCCTTTCCTAACAGTTTAAACTTTTAAGTTTGAACGGTTCCTTGAAAATTATGAATTTCAGTTTTGGATTGAGAGGTTGTAAGTTGTAGTGAGTCAGTGGAAAACTGGAAACTCCATTTGCTGAAACTTTACCATCTGGCACATTGCATTAGCAAACTTTTATCGTGTCTCTTTTGTATGATAACCAACTTTTATCGTTTATAATGCATTTATATTCTCATATGGCTATCCACCCATGTCAACATCATCATCATGTGAACAAATTTATTCTATTTTGGGATGAATATCTGACCTCGTTGCTTTTGTAAAAATTACTTGCCCTAATCTAATCCTTATTGCCCGCCGCTTGGGTGGTATTTAGCTACAAGGCAACCTCTACCCGGACTATCTTTCAGCAGTGGTTAGTGAAAAACCTGGAAAGCCCGAATTAGATATATATTTCAGTCAGAAAAAAAAAAGGAATTCCATGAAATTCTTTCCGTGGCTTTTCCAAGGCAATTCAACCAAAGCCCTCCAAATGGGCCCTTAAATATCCTTTCGTTGATTTCGTTGCCAAAGCGTGGTATCCATTTAGGCAGTCCAGATCAGGTAGGCACACATGATGAGCTAATTAAGTACTTAGAATTTTTTTTTTGACACTTCCCTTAAAATACCCCTTTACCCCCTTGAAAGTTGAAACGAATTAAAAAGCAATTCTTGATACAGACTGTATCACACAGTAGTCAAAATTGTTATTAAGTGCTCATTTAACATGAAACTACTTAGATTTGGATTCCCCCTTTAAGTGGGCGGATGTGCAGTGGCTTCTATATTGGGCCCCATATGGACAGCCTATAAAACTATATTTGGTAAAAAATCCATTAATCAGCCTAACTCAATTGCCCATTAGTCATTAATTTGAACAGCTCTGCCTCTTTGTATAATTCATATTAGAATACTTCAAAGCAGTTGAACCAACTTAGTTGAATTTTCATCTCGGGTTAATTTCCTTAATGGGCCCTAATAGAATTCGGGAAAAGTGAAAAAAAGAAAAGAATAATCTGTCAAATAATTTACCTCCCTCCCTTTTTATTCACTAGAAAAGCATAAAACATTCCCGATTCTATTCAAATTTGAAAAACAATAAACAAGGAAAGCAATTGCATAGTTTATCATCATCATTGCTTGTCTCTTCCAGTCTACCTTGGAAGTTGGAACAATGATCATTTGAGTTTTGGGTCCATCATCCTCTTGCGATCCCTTAAGTCGTATATTACTCAGGCTCAATTTAGAAAGTGTATAAATACAAATATATACAATATAAATACATACAAAACAATATAAATATAAGGTATTCCATTTTACATATCTGTATTTATACTCCTTCCAAACTGAGCCTGAAATTGAGCCTGAGACTCAATAACAAACTATACAAATCAGTAGTCCAGAATTCAGCTAGCTCTTGCAATCACACACGTACAGCCAATGTACTTAGCGAGAAAAATTAAGAAACGCACCAATACATGTAAATTGCCGATGCTATTTAGTTTTGTCGTTCAAAGTGCTCAGTTGGCATATGTCATATTGGATAAAGTGGTACAAAGGCCTTATATTCATATATCTTCTAGGTTGAAGGAAAATATTCTACACATTTGTATTTATACTTTTTCCAAACTGAGCCCTAATTGAATTATGCAAATGCACCCTTGATGAGACTGCTCTGTCAGAAGCCAAAGGTTAAGAGACTTAAAATCCAACCAACTATTTGGCCACCATGCTGGTTGGTTATTAGAATTTAGGAGACCATTGGAGGGTGAGCAAATGGATCAGTTCATATGAACTGAACGGAATTCACCTCGAATTGATCTTGAGCTGACATTATCCAATCTGTTATTAGGTAGGTTTTAGTTTTAATTTCTTAAAATTGATCCCACCTAGGCTGGTTCCAGGGTCTGGGGACTTACCCTACCCGAATTGGCCTTGATTGGCTTTGGTCGAACTGGTCTTAGAACTAAACTTATCATAAAATAAATCCCAAAATACTTTGAGAATATGAAGATTTGAATCCAAGCATTCATGTTTATAAAGATCATGGTCTCACATGATCATTGAACCACTCAAGTGAATCAATAATTTTCTTCAATTTAATATTTGAATGTGAATATATAATAAGGAACATAAAATGTGATATTTACAAAATTTAAATTAAAATGTTAAATTTCATCATCATCATCATTATTCTTGTTGTTGTTGCTGAAAATCATGTTTAAACATTTTATGGTTGTGATTTCTAATCAATAATATATATTGATAGTAACATTATCAATGATACAATTTGTGATTATGTAATTATGTCACATTTATAATTCTTAATGTTAAAAAGTATAACTTAATATATAGTACTATATTAAATTCAACAACACATATAACTATCTAATTTGATTCTTAATGTTATGGAATGATTTTGTTTTTTAAAGAACAGGTTTCATGGATAGACCCTTGAACCAATCTTGACAGGGTAGGTTTTGGTTCAAAAAACGTGAAACCAATCCCTATAAGATAGGCTCTAGTTTTGCCTTGGAACCGAACCAAATGACCTATGCATACTCATCCCTAATTGGAACAATTCTGGACATATCTCCTGCCCACAACACACTACTTCCGTGCATTGGGGACATCTCCCCATGCATAATACCATGTAAGAGGATGAGATGTTTCCCATGTGTGACTGCAATGTTATGTGGATAGACATGGGCAGAGTTCTTGTGGGTGGAGATCCGGACTCAATTGGAATAGGCAAGATGGAATAATTGAGACTTATTAGGCTCTGTTTGTTTGTAGTGCATATTTGAATCAGATACAAATTTTCCAATTGGTTCAGTTTTGCATCTATTTATTTGTAACTATGATTTGCACTCCCATTTAACACAAAATTTGTTCTTTTTGTCTCATTTGTATCATTGACAATGCAAATTTTGCATTTACAAAAATTTCACTACTTTCTTCCCACCTCAAATCTCTATGTATAAAGTGGGGCCCACACCATTTTGCTTCCAACCACACTTCAAACAAATAAAAAACAACCTTCCCATCCCCACTTTCTTTCATAGAAAGCAAGAACAGGTAGGACCACTTTATTTTACATCCTATTTAATCTCTCACAAACAAAATAAGCATAAGAGAAAATCAAATATAAAGCAAAATTAAACCAAAATGGTGTACATGTTCAAAGTTGAGCCGGGGTGTCAGTGCTAGGATCGGTATTGGTACACCATATGTCAATGTTCACATTGTGAAATTACTTGCACGTAACTAGATTTTGAAATAATGGAGTGTACTGGCTTTAGAGTTTAAGGGGTGTTCTTTTTTCAGATTTTGAGAGGGGGGGATGTTGGTCAATGGGAATCGAAATCTCATTGACCAAGAATCCTATGTTCATTTTTCAGATTTGTGGGAACAGGGAAAGTTTATTTTCCGTGATACCCATCTCCTAAGTGGATAGATAACTTGCTCATTTGGGGGGAAAGTTTTCAACACTTGAATGAGATAAAAATGTCATTTTTAATAATGAATTTTTGTGACTAAAATGGTCATTGCCTTATTTACATGAGAAATAAAAGAACATAGATGAATGTACTTACCCAAATAAATATTTCCAAGAAAAAACTTATTCAAATAACTACATTTACCAGAATAAATAACTTACCAAAAAAGAAACAGGACCTTAGACGTAGGAAAGTGTCGCCCAAAGCCTAAAGTCCAGCATAAGGGACCGGACCCTGTGATTTAAGCCAACACTTGGCTACTAAAGTTGTCATCCCAAAATTTAAGAAAAAACAAACAAACAAAGTTCCTTATTCCGAATTCCGATGACACGTACCATTTTTCACACTCTAAGCTGGATGAGAAGTTATTAATCGGTTTTAGCAGCGGTTGTACCTGAAGATGACTTTTGACTGACCGTCAAATCTAAAACATTAATTCCATCGGGTTGCAGGTAAGGTAAGCAAAACATTAAACGTGATGACTGTTGGGAGCTGATAATAAAGTGGTTTTATACAAATCTATTGGCTATTCGAAAGAAGATGAACAGATGAGATGAATTCTATCCTCTTAATTATTGTTGTGAGAAGAATATAAAGAAAAACTGAGAATAATAATAATAAGAAAAATAAGGGTTGGCAACTTCAGAGTGACTTAACTAGGGAGCTAACAAATATTAAACAGACTATTATCTTTATCAGCAAGGTAGAATAGCCGTGACAGAACTGAAACGAACCAACTCTATCCCTATATATGCATGTTTCCTTATTATAATTGGTCCGATTGGTTTTGGTTGTTTCGAGCCGATTAAGACCCAAACCTACTTATTTATCCATTGTCTCTAAAAACGCAATTACCCAAACCTACTTATTTATATATATATATATACCTGTTTTTGTCTGTTTATTTATTTCCAAGACTGGGTTACCATGAACCGGACCCATTATATTTATACTTTTTATTATTTACTAATAATTAATCGTCGTGGGACCTAGGCTGGATCAAAAGGCACGGGATCACATCACGATTGGAGTATAGATATACTTTTCATTCATTATTCCCGTGAGTCGCGTTTGACGCTGCAGTGTCATCTAGTAACATTTTGATTGATAATGGGCCCAACCTCATACCCAAAACAAAAACAGAAGAGGATTTTGAGGGTATCTTAACTTACTATTTAGACGCTTGGGTGATTGTGGAGTCTGCTAACCTGACTTGACCTGCCTGGGCCCGGGCCCGGGCCCGGGCCTAAGCTGAGTCGAGGACCCAGTGCTGACCGTCGACTTCGACTCGAAAACCCTTGACTCGGGCGAATAAGTTCACAGCTCGGCGAACGCCTCGGTTGTCAGCTGCGGTAAAGTAATCGTGGCCGAACATCACGCCACCCGGTCTGAGAAGCTTGTAAGCCCGATTGATATCCGACCAAGCCGAGTGAAAATCGTGACCAGCGTCCACCTCGATCAGGTCACCAAACACACCCCACTCACACAACTTCTCAAGAGCCGATCCGGTGGAGAAGGGGATGGGCAAAACGGACTCGGTGGCGTTAGCGTACACCACGTTCTGCATGAATTGGTACAGCAGCATCACATCCCCGTTAACCATCCCGATGTCTCGGAATCGGTCCCTAAATCCAGGCCACCCTCGAAAATCATCAATGCATAAGATCTGAGTCCGGAGGCCGAGTTGCCTCGCTTTCTCGGCCATGTGAATCGCCGACGCGCCCAGAAAGGTGCCCACTTCGATTATGGTTCTAGGCTTGACTTTGCGGATAAGGTTCTCGAACACAGCCCCCGTGGAGCCCCAACCTTTGATACGTTTGGGCCGGAGGAGGGGACTGATGTGTGGTGGGGGGAAGCTTTCATAAGGGGAGGTACCATTAAAGACTCCGTCGAGAATTGTCCGCAGGACGAGCTTGGATGGGAGCGGAGCTGCACATGGGGTCAAGAAGCGAAAGTGATCGGGCTCCGATGCCAAAGAGGAGGCAACAGCGGCAGTCGCGACGGTGGTGATTCTTGTTGGTGGTATGCCTTCTTCTGGGGCTTTGATGCTTGATGACAATTGTTGTTTAGCTGTGGTGCTCGAGGCCGACAAGTAACCCAAGGCGTAAGATATTGCGACAAGGAGGAAATAAGCAGTGCGTCTGGTGAATTTGGTGCCGGAGAGCATGGCTACTCTTCTATGGTGATGGAGGTTGTGCAGCTGCTGCTGTTCTTCTTCCTTCATCTCTTCTCTGCTCCTTTTTTTTCTCTTTGCTTTCTTTCTTTTGTTTCTTGTTGCTTTTCTTTTTATCTTTTGTTTGAATGGTGGCCGCAGTGGAAAAAAGGTTTAAGGAGAGAGAGAGGTTCTGATTCGCTTTACCATCTATATAATTTATCCATGGATCATTGGATCTACTACAATCTAATAGGTATGATGTGGTTATTATATCCATATGCGGTGTGTGTGAGTGAGCCAAGGATCGGCTGGGGATTGAAAACGATGGGGAAGGGGAACGTCATGTATGGGTTAGTAAGTAGTTGCTTTGTTAGAATTAATTTAGAAAGGATTGTTTGCCGGTGAGACCTTATTCATCTCTCCTTTTTCTTTTCTTTTTTTTTATATTTTAAATTTAAATATACGTAATTAACTTTTTTTTTTTTTTTTCTGGCTGATCTTCTTTCCCATTTTCTTTCTTGTTGTTTGTAAGCCGGCTGTGTGGACGTTTCCAGAGTTCTTTATTTCATTTCATTTTTTTTTTTTATCTAACAAACTCTTCAACTACAGAATCTACGACCTACCGACCATCTAACGTTTTATAAGCACCGGTGACCCACCGTCAAATCACCAATCAACTTGTGGGCCCAGAATCAATACCTATCTGGGCCCACTGCCTAGTCTATTCTTTAAAGAAAAACTCCTTCATGTTGTTCAAACGTACGTTTAAAATCCTCCAGCACCAGGCAGGAAGGCAAAAAGGTTTAATATGATGTCCACCACCGACGATCTGTTTCATCTTATGTTTTGAGATCCATGTCTTGAATTATACATTACAGTCCAAGTCAGAACCATTTCATCATCTGGTTAAAAATTCTAGGGGAATAATAAGTAATAATCGCTTTGTTTTTTATAGGGGAAATTCTCTGGACTTTAAAATGTAATAATTCAGTATTCGAAATTTTTGAAATGTGACAATTCAGTACCTATTGTTAATTAGTTATTAATCAATCATTAAGTGATATTTTGAAAAGATATAAATGTCCTTTGTATGTTATCTAATTTTTTTTATCAATCATCCAAATATTGATAAAAAATTAACAGTTCCAAATCTTTAGTGTTCCATTCAAGAAAGTTGGGGTCATATTTGTATGGGCATTCTAGTGATTCCAAATTTCTTGAATAGAAGAGGTAAAGATTTGGAATTGTTAATTTTTTGTCAATATTTGAATGATTGATAAAGAAAATTCGATGACATTTGAAGGGTATTTATGTCTTTTCAAATACCACTTAACGGTTAACATTAGGTACTGGATTGTCACTTTTTAAAAATTCAGATATTGAATTGCCACATTTCAAAGTTTAAAAACCAAATGACAATAGGCCTAAAACACAGAGTACTAATGGAGAATTTTCCCTTTTTTATACAGGTTTTGCTAAAATAAACAACAGACAGTCGTGGCGATAGTGAAGTACAAATCTACCTCAGTAACATCTTCGTCGGTTTGTTTGTCCCCTTTCGACTTGGAGACCGAAATGCTAAAGTCTAAATCTGACATGGCATTCTTCTATTGACCCAGTACTCTAATTAGATGGCCAGCAGCAGCAGAAGAAGAGTACGTACTAGGCCATGGGGAGGTGAGATCTGCTGTAGACTTGAAGTTTTTGACTTTGCTGTAGACTCGATCAAATACATTTCTGCTATGTGTTGTTGTTTGCATGGTCAGTAATCTTACCATGAGTGTTATACTTATCAGAACCCCCTTGTTAACACGTTAATAATGGGTATTATTTAATTTCTTTTATGTTTTTATTTTTTAATTAGTTAATTTCTTTATACAACAATTTCCTAATTATTTTTCTTCCCTAAGCTCTAACCCAAACCGAAGCCATAATCTCTTGTCCAACTTATGCAAAGAATATAATATAGGTGGCGTTCATTCATCGAATCTACAGCAAAGTCAATAGCCTTACGTACGTGTACAGCAGCAGATCCGGCATGCATGGGACCATCAAAATAGGCCAGGTTGGAGGTTGCCCTTACTCTAAGGCATATATACTTTAACTTTCACATGGGCAAGTTTGCGGATTTTGATCGGTCCGATGCATCTATCATCACCTCTTCAGAGACACTAAAGCAATTAATTAGTTGCATACATATATCCTGATTAAAGGACAGTCTGCCTATCCATTTCAGTAGTATATATTATTATTAATTCTTCTTTATAGATTTGTCTTTTAAATAAATAGAATATTGAATATTATTTACTTATTCATTAACAATATGCTTGGTTTAATTTAATAAAAATTAAGAGAGAAACAGTCAAACAGAAGTTCTTAAAAACTTTCACAAAATTCCTTGGGAATTTTCGATCTGTTTCTCTCTCTTATTTTATTTTATTTTATTTTTTATCAAATCAAACATAGACTAATGTAATAAGTAATTCTCCACACGGCTTTCTTTTACAACTTCAAATTCGCGCGACGTAGATAATACTTTAACTACTTACATTTAAGTACGTACGTAGCTTGTCTGCAGCAAGCTATTCAACCCCCGTTGAGACTGAAGAATATCCTTTTGAGTTGCTTGGAGCTTAAATACATGTTTGAGAGTGACTTAACCTGTCGATACATGTATCTGAAAGCAAACCAAGCAATGATCTGGTTTGGCTGATCATGAGGCTCAATCTAATTTTTCAAACTTTGTTTCGTTCATTTATGTAACATTCTATGGTCTTTAGCTCATATATATTTATATGATTTTTGGGAAAACGTGTTACCCTCCATTTTGTGTAACCTATTCTGTTAATTATAAGAAAAAGCTTTGGTCCAATGTTTTAACAATCGATTCAGAATCGGAACCATATTAGTCACTGGTTTTTGGGTCAGCGGTTTGATCATGTGGTTTGAATTTATAGCTCATTCTAAATTAAAAATATAAAAATTTTAAAAAATGATTAAAATAAAAAATGGCCAAAAATCATTGTTTGGGTCAAATGGGTTGACGGTTTGACTATCTAGGTTAGCAAATCACTGACCAAATCAACAGCTTTTGGCCACAAAACGGGGTAAGGATGAAACAAAATCGATTGCCTTAATGTTTCCTGGCCAAATGGTCTGACCGTCCAGATCAACAACAGTTCGAAGACATTGCTTTGACCTATGATTTTTCAATGCTTGCATATAATGGGTATACTGGGTAAATATATAATGTGAAAGAAAAATGTAAATCCGACATACAGGAATGGGATTAGATATGTATAAATTATAATTTCACAATTCCCTTTTAACCATCTTCATATAAGCCGCTTTTTGTAATTATAAAAGCATCTTCCATCAATTGAGAATGGACATAGGGTGGTCAATTGGACTGGGTTTGGTCCAATCTCATACAGTCTAATGTGAATTCATTACAAATGGATCAGGTCCAATCCAATCCAATTCAATGAATATTTTGGACCAGTCCAATTCAGTGTTTGAATCATCCAAACTGTTCAAATTTGTTTTAATTTAGATTGATTTCAATTTAAACCTGGTCCATTGACACTTATATTCTTATCTTATATCAATGAACCAGATATTAACTTAATCCAACCCAATCCAATATAAATTTATTAAGGACTGGACGGACCAGGTCCAATTCAATATGTCTTATTGGTCCGTCCAAATCGACACCCTTAAATGTACATGTCCAAGCGTAAATGGTAAATCTTGAGACTCTCCTCACAGTGGGAACATGGTCAAGTTTTGACTTTGATCGAACTGCTTTAGCCCTACGGTATAAAGGGGAATTTAGATGTAAGGCCATTACTATGTTAGTCCCAGTTTTTGGGTCATGACTCATAAGTGTAGACTGGATTTGGTTTTAACTTTTAACCTTTGGCATTTCATTAATGCCAAAGTAACCGTTCTCATGTGAAGAAAAAAGAGTAACCGTTCTCATACTCTAATCTGCATTTTCACAATTGTAAGTATAGACGTAATGGTTACGTAATTTCATAACATAAAAAATCAACAATACCCATTAATGACCCACATTTATTTCAATTTTTTTTTGTTATCACATTTTACGTATTAGGTTGCTTACTTATTGGGCTCACTAATAGGATGGAAAATTTCTAATAGGTAATTTTAGGTCTCCATAGTGACGTTAAGTTGAATTCAAGTTGGACACATGTCATACAGATGTCGATAGGCAACAGGAATTCCTGCCGTCTGTCCACAGCCAAAATTTTCTCGTGGTTAGTTGTAACAATTGTTTAGTTAAGTTGTTTTTCATAGTGGTCCAAGGATTTTAGAGTCAGTTGTAAGAGTAGGTCAGAAGTCCATGTAACTCTCTTCTTAATCAAATTATTATGAGAATTATCCTTTATCATTTAAGATTTTTATCTTTTATAAGTCTTTCGTTTTCCTTGAAGTAGAGGAACTGCTATTATGTCTAATCAGAAATATAATAATATCAATATGAGAAAAATTTTATATAAAAAAAAAATGATATCATTCTAGGAGAAATGCATGATACGAAAAAATGATTATAATACTAAAAAGACATAATACCAGAAAAACTTGTAATCGATCAATCCATCATTATCATAAAAGTGGTAACGGATATGGTGGTTTATCAGAAAAATTGACGACGGAAGGATTTTGATTGGTTACAGCTCTTTACCCTATCATAACTTTCCAGCATCAAAGATTTACATTGGTTCAACAAATATTGGTTGTATCGGGGGTAAAAAAAATATATAAAATATTATACTAGTTGTATCTACAATTATTTCCAACACCAGTGATTATTCCGTAAAATCTTGGTGAAGAGCCGAATTTTACAATAAAAAATTTATAACTAAAACACTGAAGTTCAGACAAAACAAGTGGAAGAGTTTGAAGTAACAAATGTTATCACCATAGCAGCTCTCATCGTCCGTGAACAACAAAAATGAAAAAGCTAGTTTTATTTCATCGAAGTAAGAATAGATTAGATATGTGAGAAAAATCCTTTAGGCTTCTTAATAAATTGCTAAGCAATTTCATTATGTTAAAAAACTGAACCCTGCCTGGCAGTCTGGGATCGATGGAGCACGGGGACTGTTAAATGTTAAATCAGACAGACTAGAGACCAGAATGCGCCGTGCATTCACTCCCGACTGGAGAAACAATAGATAGTTAGATACAGAACAACAGCAGAGACAACCTTCCATCTAGACATCATATTCTTATTTGCCCCTTAACAGCACACTGCACACCTACATGTCCAGTTAAAAGGGAAAACAAGAAATCTGTTTTGGTCAAACATATCCCAACGGCAGAGGTAAACTAGTACTAATGTAGTATAAGAAACACTGATGTGCTATCAACATCCAAAGCTGCTATTCATATGGATATCCAGTTGCAGCCGTTTCAGCTGGCATTTTCTGATCCTTTCAGGTAAGATGGTTCCCCATCAGCACTGCCACGTCCAGGAGTCGAGTTCCCTTGTCCATCACCAGAAGCAGCCTCTAGGACATCATGTTTGTTTCCTCGGACATCCAGAGGACCGCTTGAAGCACTGCCCCCACCCCCACTCCCACGTGCATATTCTGCTGCTAGGCCCCCACTGGGTGGTGGGCCACCGCCGTTGCCACCCCCAAGAATTGACTCATTTTGCATGGCCAGCATCCCATTATTGATTCCAGGTCTCATGGCCATATGACCTTGGACAGCTTGTTGATGTTGGTGTAACTGATGTTGCTGTTGCTGATGATCCTGCATTTGCTGTGGGTTGAACTGCATCGGGACTTTTGGTGCAAAAACACCAGGTTGTGAAGCCAATGCTGCCTGAGGATGTTGCATGTAATGCGCTCCGTGTTGCATTGCGTGATGTGGCGGCATCTGAAATGTTGTCAAGGTAAGTAAATGTTATTAATTTGATGGATGAGTGGCATGTTTCAGTCAGGTTCGACTTTGTAACTGACCTGAGGAGCCATAGCTGGTGTTTGTGGTTGAGCATCAGCAATTGCAGCTAGATACATCAAGTTCTTTTGAAGCAGGGCTTGGTACCTGAATCACGAAAACAATTCAACAAATAGACCAGTATGAAATATGAATCTGCTCATATACAAATGAATCAGATAATGTACAGAGTAACTATATAGAATATAGTAAGTAAATTGACACATCAAACCAACTTGTCATTATGTCAAGTTATAATATGGTTGTCAGTTTGTCACTTACTGTGCACACTCGGCCAGTTTGCCTAGGTTTTGATTGTCCAATATTGCCAGGATCAACTTTTTGTTTTCATCCAGGTACTGCTAAAACCATGAAATAGCATCAGCCTCAAATAAACAAGTTCTCTTTTATCAGTTTAATCAAGTAACTCAACCAAAATATAAAAGTTTCAAATAACTTTCAAGTAATAGTTGCAACATTATAACTCAAACCACCGGATTCAAGACAGACAACCAGAAATTATAATGAAAATTATAATTTCAGGATCTTCGACAACAAATGTGACAGAGGAGGGCTTGTTTGTAAAACTAAAGGCTAAAATGTTTTCTTGGGTGGGCGTGCAAAGGGCTTTTTATAGGAAAACTCATGATACTTTTCTTGACAAAAAAGTTCGCTTTTTGTAAAGCTGGTTATTCAAGGCTGAAAGATTGTACCCTCTGTACAGATCCTTGGTATACATGGGGTCTGGTCTTTTTTGCTTTATGAATGAAAATTCTACTTTACCTTCTTCAATGTTAGAGGTGCACAAGTAGAAATATACAACCCTGTAAGTCCTAGAAATAAAAGTAGTCATAAGTACATCAGAGAAAAGTAGAAAAGTAATACTAACAATGTATAGCACTTAACAATGGGTGGCATAAATTTTTTAAGTTCAGGCATAAGTTAGCACATGTTAAAATTGTAAAAATATTTTTTTTTCCGACCAGGTGAAGTGTAAGTAATTGTGTTGATATCTATTGAGACTAATTTTTACAGCCACCCATGAACACCAAGGATCTGTACACTAGGAGATACAGTAACTACATAAACCAGTAATGCAATATCCAATTACAAGAAAAGTGCATCATATTCAAAAAAGAAAAGAAGATGAGGCACTTCCTTGAAGGTGTGACTGACAGCTGGCCATGACTTCAGCATGGTGCAAGACTTTCTATTGAGGTATCATGAACCAAAGGGTTTTTCCCTTAGTTGTTTAAACTTTAAACACCTTGGCTGCCAACTTAAAAGAACATCCTTAGTAGTGTCTGGCTTGCACCACTGCAATCTGAATAACTGGAAGAATTCAGCCCAAAGCACCCTTTTAAATGTGCAACGAAGGAAAACATGATTTGCTGTCTTTAGCTGATTTGAAAAGAGTTATCTAATGCCATACCTCTTCTACATAGGCTATCTTCCATCAGGCACTTATCAAGTGTATCAGACCACACCAGAAATTTGATCTCAGAGGGAGTGGTGGGGCACCAGATTTTTTAACTGGAAAAGGATTCCCAGGTGATGATTCTAGGTGTCTGAAAAAAGATTTAGCAGTGAAGGAACTTGACTCCCATTACCATACCTTCCTAATCCACTCTTTGTGCTGGTTTTTGAGCCTGCAGTTTTATTAACATTTGAGCCAGCTACTCTATTTTCCAAACGTTTAGACTTCTTCTTAGCCTTAGGTTCCATTCCAATCCATTGTTATGAAATATTATATGGTCTGCCACCTTTGTGTTTCTGTCTAGTGCAATTAGAAATGGCAATGGGAATACCTGCACGAGTGGTTGCTCAGAGGACCAGGGGTCCAACCAAAACTTGCCTTTTTTCTGCCATTCCCTAATTTGTAGCTAATGTGTTTTGGATTTTTTCAATTATTTTCCAAATTGAACAACCATAGGAGAGGTGCAATTCTGCTGACTCCTAAGTCCTAACCCATATTAATAGTCCATATTTTACAACCATGATCTGTCTCCAAAGGCTGTCAGTTTCTACCTCAAAGAGACACCCCCATTTCTCTAGTAGGGTTGTATTTACAGCCCTTAGCAGTCTGATTCCCAATCCACCCCTCATTCTTTGTGAGCACAGCTTCTCCCAGTCCACCAAGTAGATCTTTAGTTACTTTGTCCATCTACTCCATAGGGAATTCCTAATCAATTCTACTAATTTATTTTCCACCTCAGCTAGTAAGGGGATTAAGGATAGGAATTATGCCAACTGTCTAGCTATAATACAATACTACGTATCAATGTAACTTTACTTCCTTTCGGTAGATAGCCTTCCAAGAAACTGGTCTTCTCTGGAACCATTCAACGATTAGGTCTCTTAAAGATCTTGATCTGTCAAACACACTTAAGGGCATCCGTAGGTGTTTTGATAGGAGTTGTCCTATCTTGCATCAAAATGTGCCCGCTAACCAATTTTTGAAAAAAATGGTAACTTTATTCAAAGGGAAAGAGGTAAATGAGAACACAGTAATTGCTAACTCAAAGAGTTATACAGGGAGAGAACTATCATTAAACATGTAATCCCTGTGAACACCAGCCTTTGCAAGACCATCAGCAACAGAGTTTAGCTCCCTAGGGACCCAACCCAACTGTGTGTTCAAGTTAGAAAGGATGTCTCTAGATTCAGCCAAGAAGTGAGCTAAAGCCCAGGGATCTCCGTCAGGACCAGTTAACCACTTGATAGTATTTGCAGAATCCCCTTTTATGATTATATTCAAATAACCCAGATCTCTTGCAATCCTGATTCCAGTTAAGGCTGTCATGAATTCAGCCTTTGTTGAAGTGGCAATCCCAATCGGTCCACTAAAAGCCCAACTAATTTTACCATCTCTTCTTCTAAAAACCCCCAATTCCTGCTGCACCTGGATTTCTGATGGCGCTTCCATCAAAATGAAAGGTTATCTTTCCTTCCTCAACAGATCTGCAGATTTGGGGGGTGGTGAAAGACATGTTTTGAAGTTAGGAAGCTTGCGGCATTCCTTTGAAGATAAGAGATGGAGACTCCTTTAAAGTACTCTGAACTGGAGGTCCAGAGTAAGCACTATGAGAAATGATGCCTGCTAACTGATCAATACACTGGACTTCCCCAACAGTGATGATCTCACTTCTACTGAGAAATAAGGTATTCTTACACAAACCTTGATCCAAATTCTTCACCTAGATCCAAAGTTCTTTCTCCTAAGCATGTAGTCAATGAGTTCCACTCTGTGATTGTAAGCCTTTTTGAAGTCAATTTTGCATATTACAACAGACTCCTTTCTCTTAATCTGGAGTCAATAAGCTCATTAGTGATTATTTATAAAAAAAATCTCATTAGTGATTAGCACCCTTCTTTCTTCAGTTGTTGGACTTAAAGGGTGGTGGTCCTTAAACTCCACAGCCCTTCTTTCTTCAGAATAAGTACTAGAAACTAGAAAAAAGCTCATCATTAGTAATTAGCACCCCATCAAGCATTTAACAACTTCTGAGAAACACTCCTTGTATTGGTGAAATAATAAATTCCATTACCTTTTCTATCCATTATGTAATACCTTGAGTAGGATTTTGTGCACACAATTGTTCGGACTTAAAGGGTGGTGGTCCTTCAACTCCACAGCCCTTTCTTCAGAATAAGTACCAGAAACTAGAAAAGCATCATTCAATCCTTTCATGTAATGCATCCTCAGGAGATTCATTCAGTACCTCTGTCAAGTTGTCTTTGACCATTCCCAACAATTTTTGTAAGAAAAGACATTGTGAAACCATCTGGTGTTGGTGCCTTATGACCCATCATCTCTTGATTGCCTCTTTCACCTCTCCTTTTGAAACTAAAGCTTCCAACTCAGTTGTTTGCTTGTCTAAAATGGTGCTAAAAGATATCTCATCTAATTTTGGCATTCTTTTTCCATATTTCCTTGTACAGCTCCAAGAAATGATAATATCTCCTCCCACCTAGGAGAGATCATCTTCACAGGGATTGGGCCTTCTTGATCATTTATCCATGTATTACCTGTCCCTATACTGGCAGGTCTATCTAACTCCCATCTTTGGATAACATCTATATAACCACTCATCCCAAAAGTACCCCTTGAATTCCTTGTTTTCTCATTTGTGAATAATATTGAATTGAAATCACCCCAAATTACCCAAGGCATTTTCCATCTTATTCCCATGTTTTGACTATAGCCCTTGTGATGATTCTTCAACTCCTTCAACTCTAGGGTTTGCTGCATGTAGATTTAGGATAGCTTGGTAATGGTCTTTCTCTTCCAGCTCCTTTTCTTTGCATTCCACCATAGCAACTCATTCATAAGGTTCTATGGCAGCCAATGACATGATAGACTCATCCTCCAGCATTTCCACCCTAGTTCCTTAGCTTCTTATGTGGTTGAGATTGTTCTCAAATTTTATTACAGCTTCTCCTCTTCAATGTTTTGTCCCACTAGTACCTTAGGCATCCAGCTTCTGTCCGCGGATATGGTTTGTCTATAATTTTCCAGTTTTCTTTGTACCTCTGGGCGCACCTCTGATCAGATAGGAACAAGGTATACATAGTCATCCAGGACAACATTTGCCATCCGTGCTGTCCATCAAATGGTTTTCTTTGCTCACATCCAATTAATCTAATCCCAATATCCGCCACACAAATTGCCTATGCTGCAAACAACTGATTCACTCCACGAGTGCAATGGAAGGTAGTAACCCTTATCCAATACCACTTTGGTTCTTCTTCTCTCCCAGCATTACATAGTTGCAAACCATCACCCCAAATGCATCACCGCTCTCCTATAGTTCCTTGTTCCATTCTAAGGATTCTTTCAGGTTTTGTCTCTAACAGAAAATGAAAAACGAATTCTATTCCCATATTTTGTGAGCCTTGAAGCTGAAAGTTAGATTCCATTTTCTTAGAGCCCATCTTTACACATCCTCAGTCACTACTTTAGAGTGCTCAATGGTGTCCACCAAATAGAATTTTACTAAGTTTACCCTTGCTTCTTCCCCTACCCCAATCTACTTCCAAGAAAAAAAATTCTCATACATACTTTCAAATGGCTAGAACCTCCCAAAGGCCATTCTGGGTAGGTTGCGATTTCTGCAGAGATTTTCCTTGCTTCGTCTCAGTTGCATTGCTTCTGGCATCTCCCCCCCNCCCCCCACCCCATATGCACATCCAACACTGCCTTCATACTGCATCATCTTCAGATTACAATTCACAATTCAAATTGTCAATTGAGTCATGAATCCCAAAAATCATAATTCAAATCTAAAATTTGAATCCTTCTTTGAAAAAACGTTACCCTTATTGATTGAATTTTACAATTTCATTCATGAATCTCATGATT